CACTGCTGCAAACTCCGTGTTCCACATGGGCCGCCCGAAGATGGTTTTGTGCCTGAGGCCCGTCACTGTGTCCGTAGCGGTGTCGAAGTGGAGCGCCACGTTGTTGGCCTGGGCAGGCAGGGATGGTGAGAACCCCAGGCACCACCCATGAGCCTCCCCTCCAATCCCTCACCACAGAGGAGCATCCATTGTTGATCCCACCAAACACTGCCTGGACTTTGTGCCCAAAAGCCATTGCCATGCTTGCCCTGCCCTTCCTGCCCGGCTCGGCCACCCTGTGTCCCCCGTGCCAGCCTGCATTTGACTCACAATGCTGGTGTCCCAGCCTGTGAGGAAGAGACGGTAGGTGAGGAAGTCTGCCTTGCCCGACTCGGCCATCTTCTGCTCCAGGGAGGCAAGCAGGTCGTTGAACCAGGCAAAGGCTCCTGTGTCCCGGCAGAGCCAGTAGAAGTAGATCTGGGACACAGGGGAAGAGTGCTCAAGGTGCAGCAGAGCCAGAGGGAGAGACCCACAGCTGGTCCCATGGGACGTTCCGTACCTTCTTGGTCTTGAGGGTCTGGTCAGCCTGCTGGAACTTGTACCAGATGGACTTGAGGATGGAGGCGAAGGGGGTGACACCGATGCCCGCTCCAACCAGCATGGCCACCTCGTACTGGAACACGTCTTCGCTGGCCGTGCCAAAGGGACCATCCACCTCGATCCTGCCAAAGCAGGGCCTGGGTGAGAGGTACGGCCTCCCCAAGCCCCTGGCATGACCTGTTGGGCACTCTCCAGCCTACCTGGGTGTTTCCAATTGGAAGGTGTCAATGAGACGCTCTGTCCAGTCGCCAGCCGCCCGGATGTGGATGGAGAAGAAATCCTCCTCGGGTGCAGAGGTGAGGGTGAAGGGGTGCCACTCCAGCGGGGAGATGGAGGGGCAGTTGACGAAAATGTACTGCCCCACCTCCATGCAAAAGCCCTTCTTCTGCATCTGCAGCTCCAGCACACGGGCGGGGTGCATGACCACCTGGGGGCACGGGCAGGGCTCAGAGCCCAGCCTGGCCCTAGGAAGGGGCTGGAGCTGTGGCCCCTGCCCGCCTGCCCACGGCCACCACGGCGAGGAGCTGTGGCACCGGTGACTGCAAGGGTAGGAGCTGGCACAGGAGCTCCTGCACCACCCACCTTAGTGACAACCACCTTCTGCTGTGCACGCCAGACCCGCAGGATCCGCTCGAAAACATAGAGGATGATGGGGGCAAGAACCCACTTCCAGGACTGTGAAGATGGAGGAGAGCAAAGGATTGGGAAGGGCCAGAGCATCCCAAAGGCAAGGGAAGAGCTTCTCCCCCACCACAGCCATCCCACCACTGCCCTACCTCGGCAGGGATGCTGCCGAACTCGGGGTCTTTGCAGCAGTTGTGGGTGCAGTTCTGGTCCCGCAGGGTGAGGTACTCGGAGCAGTGGTAGGGGTGCACCTCTGCCATGCTCTGCTCCGTCTGCCCACGCACCAGCCCACTGCAGGGAGGTGAGGGATGAGCCCAGGGCCAGGGCTGAGCCACGCTGCGTGAGGCCAGCTGGGCTAGCCCGCCCTGGCAGTGGCAGGTCACAGCCCCACTGGACTCTCCCCACGGCTGCCCCAGCAGAGCTCTGTGTCCACTGCGCCCCGCTGTCCTGCCCTGGGGAGTGAGAGGAGCCTTACGCGATGCCGTGGATGACGAGGCCAGCGAAGTAAACGAGGAAGAGGTGGTGTGTGTACCAGAAGAGCTCAAAGTAGTTCCTGCGGATGAACTCGGTGGAGGATGTGACCATGAGGATGAGTGCCAGCGTGATGATCACCCCCGTCAGCCCCGGGATGGTCGTGAAAGCCACGTACTCGACGGTCTGCAGGGGCAGCAGGGTGGGTTAGGGAAGCAGGGGCAGGTGGTGGAGGGCTGCTGGATGCTGAGGCCACACTCACTGTCTGGTTGGAGTGGATGGGGTTCAGCCACTTGCTGCCCTGCAGGTGCATTTTGGAGAGGACGGCGGGGAGGCTGCTGTCGGTGGCCTGCTGGCTCTGGTTGTAGCGCTCCAGGTTGAAGAGGTGGGCGATGGTGTGCACAGCTGGACGGGGGACAGGCAGTCACCCACCGGGCAGCTCCCAGTCCCCACGGCTGCCCCAGCCCAGTCCAGGGGGTACCTGTGAGCAGGGCCAGCGTGTAGGCCACCAGCTTGTGGAAGGTGAGGTTGTGGTCCAGCTGCTTCCGCAATGTCCGCCGGCAGCACTGCAGGAAGAGGTGCTGGTGTCAGGATGGGGACAGGGATGGGGACGGCCAGGCTGGCTGTGCCACCACGGGACACTCACCGAGCAGGTCCCGCGGAGGAAGGAGAGCAGGTTGCGGCAGACGGGCAGCAGGATCAGCATGCTGTTGAAGTTGAGGCACTTGGCTGATGCTCGAGCCCACGCCAAGGCAGACTGTGGAGAAGAGAGGTGAGCACCACTGTCCTGTCATGCTGTGCCAGGACTGGGTCAGTTCAGTGCTGAGCTGGGACTGAGTGATGCTGGGCTGGGAACTGGGGTGGAGAGATGCTGGGCTCGCATCCCGGGAGGGGGAGATGCCAGGCTGGGCTGGGATGCTGAGACCTGGGACTCACACAGGGACCAGCATGGTGCAGTGCCAGGCCACGGAGTGGGAAGGAAGAGGACAGAACGTGAAAGGGGTGTGGGACATTGCAGCCCTCACCCCACTGCAGCAGGGCCCCGAGGGGCTGGTTGGCCTGGGCAGGCAGGGTGTCCTGGGGCAGCACCTTACCCCAAGGATGGCTCTGGTGTAGAAATACTGCTCATGCCGGTCAAAGAACAGAAAGTAGTAAGTGAAGAGGAAGATGTTGATGCCCAGCCAGGCTGCCTGCGGGGGAAAGTCACAGCTTCATGAGGGACCCTGTCCCGGGAGCCTCTCACACTGCAGCACTCAGGGCTGGGTGCAGCCAGAGGGTGTCAGGGCAGCATATCCCATCCTGTTTCCTCATGAGCTGCCCTGTCACGCACAGGGCTGGGACACGGAGCCAAAGATGGGGAGAGGTGTGGAAGTCTTGCAGAATTGCTATCTTGTCACACACTGCCCTGTGCATCACCCATGCATGAGGAAGGAGGAAAGGCAGGAGCAGGCAGTGCCTGTGTAACGGGAGGGAAGGCAGATCCCGAGGGTGGTCGGGACCGTGTGGGAAAGATTCTGGGAGAAGGAAGTTTCACAGGGAGATTGCTCACCTGGCCCCACTGTGCTGCTGTCCCCTGCCTAACACTGCATCCCACACTGCCGCCTCTCACAGCCGCTGAAATTTTTGCAGAGTTCCCAAAAAAAACCCACCCTGCCATGTATTTCAGTTTTGGCTGTTTTCTTTTTCTTTTTAAAGTAACTTAAAAAATTAAAATAGCCCAACTGTCTGTAAACCCCCATGTTCCCATGCATTCACAGCTCCTCACGCAGTGCTGAGCAGCTGATGGGTGCTGGCCAGGCAAGCTCTGTTACACCAGAGATGCTGCAGCAGATCTGGCAGATGGTCTCTGTGGTGCCAGCTCCTCGCCCTGCCACGAGTTTTCACAGAATCCTCCTCCTCTCACAAGGGGAGCAGAGGCACATGGGAGGCTCCCAGCCAAAGTGGCTGGGCAAAGCAGCAGCACTTAGAAATTTTCCAGGACCCCCTTTCCCGTGAGCTGTGTTTTCCCCAAGAGTTCAGTGTTCCAGGGCCATCCCTCCCCTGGCTGCGGGCTGGCGGAGCAGAGGGGACGCTCATCTATCCCCACAGCCCAGCCCAGGGCAGCTCATCAGTGCCCACCCCAGAGCCCCCCAGGGCCCGTAGCCCCCCGGTCCCCCCATGGTGCCGCCCGGTGAGCCCCCCAGCCCCAGCCACTCACGAGGACGGCGGCTGAGAACCAGTGGTTGACCAGCCAGTTGCCCATGGTGCGATGTCCCCGCCGCCTGCCCGGCTCTGCCCGTGTTTTATGGAGGCAGCAGGCGGAGCGGCAGCCCCGGCCGCGGGAACGGCACCGCGGGGACTTTCCCCTGAGGAGACTTTAAGGAAATGCTGCTGGTTTCAAAGGCCACCTTCCAGGAAGGCAGGGCTGACCCAATCGGCCAGCACCGAAACGAGCCCCTTGTGCTGGCCAGGGACGGCCCCTGCCGAGATCCCCCGTGCCCCCACGGCTGGGTGACACAGGGTGTCTGGCTGCTCCTCTTGCGGTTTTGCAGCCTCTGAGCACAAAAACAGGCTTTTTTTAGGGTAGGAATTTCCTGGGAAGCAGTTGTGGAGGATCTGTCCTGTGCCTGGCTCAACAGCTCTGTTTTCCCTGTTTTCTCTGTTTCTCCTTCGCCAGCCTCCACTGCCCGTCTTGCAGGGAAACCACCAAAGGAGGAGAAGCATCCTGGGGTCACAGCCCTGTGCCAGTGCCACGATCCAGCCCAGGCATCCATTGCAGGACAGGTGATCAAGATCGAGCACCAGTGGTGCTGCACCTCCATGGGCCCCCCAGGGCCCCCCAGAGCATCCTCAGTCCAGCACCCAAACTGAGCTGAGCCCAAAAACGGGTGCTGGGGTGGGGGTGTCACACTCCTGGTTTGGGGCCAGGATGCCTGAGTCCCATCAGCACCCACTGCCACTGCTGTGCCAGCCTCCCTTCCCCTCCTGCCTGCCCTCCACTGAGCCCTGGGGTGTCCAGTGCTCCAGCTGGGAACAGCAGCCTGTTCAGGGCCCCTGAGCCTGGAGGAACAGGTCGGACAGGCTTGCTCCTTGCTGGCATGCTGCTCCCTCCTGGCCTGCAGCCACGCTGACGGAAGCACAGGATGAGGCCAGCCCCCATCCTGCCATGCTCCTGTACCCTATGGGCTCCATGGAGGGGCTCCCCCATCCCCACTTCCCGCTGGCACAGCCCCATTCCGGTGCCTGCAGAGGAGAGGGTTACGTGACCAGCAGGTGTGAGCAGCGTGCCAGCCCCGGTGGGACAGTCCCCACCCTCCGCGTGAGTCACTGCAGCACCCAGACGCAGCCACAGCAACGTTTCTTTACTGCTTAAAACAGTCCCAGTGGCACCCACGGCCCGAGGTCACCCTGTCACCATAGCAGCAGTGGGGGCACCCCAGGGACAGCCAGCCTGCAGGGGCAACTGCTTGGGGCACCCCGTAAGTCACAGAACTGTAGAACCGTAGAATAGTTTGGGTTGGGAGGGACCTCTAAAGGCCATCGAGTTCAGCTCCAGACATGGGCAGGGACATCTTCAACTAGGCCAGGTTGCTCAGAGCCCATCCAACCCGGCCTCAAGTGTTTTCAGGAAAGGGACATCCACCATCTCTCTGGGCAACGTGTGCCCATCCCTCACCACTCTCATTGTAAAGAACTTCCTTATGTCCAATCCAAATCAACCCTCCTTCGTGTTCATGAGTGGTCCTGAGCGGGCAAGCACCCCCCTGCCACCGTGGGGATGCACCGGGACCCGCTGCCACCGCAGGAGCGTGGCACTTGGCCTGTGCCACAGGCATCCCCCGGCTGCCGGCGCAGCCCTGCGCTGCCCATCCCCGTGTCCATAGCTGGCCGGAGGAGCCGGGCGCTCAGACAATGCTGTGCCTGACGCCCGGCTCGAAGGGCGCCTCGAGGCACAGAGGGGTCCCTGCCGCGTGCCGGCGGCAGCACACGCAGTGCAGGAAGTCAGCGACGTTGTGCCGGAAGAGCTGGCGGCAGGGGTGCAGGTACTGGAAGAAGAGGAGCATGAAGTAGATGCCCAGGCAGTAGCCAAGGAGCAGCTGCAGCACCAGCAGGGCGGTGCAGACGTTCTCATAGACATCAGTCTTGAAGAAGTACCAGAGGATGACGAGGGCCGTGTTCTCCGCCAGCCGGGCCACGTAGTACACGGCCAGGCGGCCCCAGTTCTGCGACTTGTCGATGAGGTCCCGGTCAGCCAGCTTGAGCTGCACGGCCGACCAGCAGAACATGTTGATGCTGGAGTAGAGGAGGGTGAAGGCACAGAGCACCACCACCGTGCCCAGGCGGCTGAAGTTCTTCTCGATGTTGTCAGGCAGGCGGCTGCCGCTGCGCCAGAACTGCACCCAGGGCAGGAAGAAGACCACCAGGAGGTTGGCCAGGGCGATGGGGATGATCCAGTGCTTGAAGACGGTGCTGAAGAGCACGAGGACGGCGATGCGGGTGGAGATCTCCAGGCTGCGCCACAGCACAATGCACAGGAAGGCCAGTGGCCGCAGCTGGACCTTGTAGTCATCGTACTTGACCTGGATGGCCAGGATGTTGCAGACCAGCGCTCCGTAGGTGACTGACACCAGGCAGATGGCCATGAGGACGGCTGCAGAGGGAGACAGCAGGGGAGTCAGGCAGTGCTGGACACCAGGCTGTGTCCAGCCTCTCCTCTGCCTGGGGTGCAAAGTGTGGGGTGACAACTCCAGGTGGGAAATGTGGGGTGCCAATCCTGGGTGAGAAGAACAGGGTGCCAAACACCCGGGCTCAGGTCAGAATCTGACAGTGTGTGAACACTGTCAGAACAGCTCATGGATGGTGGTGACAGTCCCCACGATGAGATGGCTGCGGGGGTTGTTGGCAGCAGGAGGCTCAGAACCCAAAGGTTCTCCCTACACCACTAAAACACAAACCTTAGGCAAAGCAGAGCCATTTCTGTGGCTGGACCATGCCCCAGCCCCCCTGCCCTGCGCAGGAAATGCTGCTCAAGGGTAAGGGGGCACAGCCTGTCTCTGCCTTCATCCCAGCCAGGAGCCACACCGCTGTAGCCCCAGAGGCATCCCAAGAGCCAGCTCCATCCGAGGGCTGCAAAGCCAAGGTCGTCTGTAGGGAATGCCAGCAGCTGCTCACATTCAGCACAGCCAGGAATACCACGGAATAAAATGGAAGAGTGCAGCTGGTCCCATCCATGGTGGCTGCCAGCTGCAGGGCTGAGCTGACACTCCAGCTGCGAGGGAATCACCCAAAACACATCACTTGGTATTTACTTCCTGCATCTAGTGCTAGAGGAGCACTGGCACTCGTTCTTCCTGTGCATGTGCAACTCCCCAGAATGCCTTTGCAGAGGGCTGTGGCCAAATAGGGGATTTCTATGTGGCATCTCCTGTGCTTTTCCTTTTCCTGCACCTGCTGTGGGCACAGGTGACAAGGTCTGGGCTCCCAGCACTGCTGGGATGAGCGGGTGGGTGAGGGAGCTCCTTCACCCAGCACTGCAATGGGAATGGAGCAGGGGCCCAGCTCGGTACCATGCCAAAACGGGAGTTAAAAGTTTGCTCTGGCATATCCACCCCCAAGCACATAAACATCCTGGGAGCAGGCAAGGGAGCCTCAGAGTGGGAGTACTGGGCTGGGAGCTCTGGCTGTTCGAAAATGTGCAGAAATAGATACAGTGGAGGGACTTGAGGGAAGCCAGAGCCTGTAGCTAGATGGAAAAAAGTGGAGACTGGAGCAGGCCAGGACAGGGACCTGGCATGACATGAGACTTGGCACTGGGAGGATGGCTTGGTTCTGGAGGGCAGATCCAAGGGCTGGGAGCAGAGCCTGGCACCTCAGTCATGCCCACTCCTTCCCACTTTGCATCGCTGCAAGCAGGAAAAGCAGAGAGCTGATGAGTGCCCAACTTCTGTGGGTTGTGCTCCACATTTAGGGGAGCCCAGTGGAAGCTGTGTCCCAGGGAATGACATTTTGGGTTGCCCGGATGTCACATCAGCACAAGCAGCTAAGGAGCTGCCACCGTGCCCTGCTGGGGCTCCTGGGGAGCCCTGGTGCCAGGCGCCCTTACCTCGGGCCACAGGGACGTACTTCTCCAGGACGCTGATGTAGAGCTGCAGGGTGAGCTGCGGGGTGGAGCCCAGGAAGGCCTGGATGACCGCCATGCGCTTGAAGGCGTTGCGGTGCGTGGCCAGCCTGCGCTCCGAGTGCCCCACCTCCTGCTCCATCTCCACCTCGTAGCCCTTCTGCAGCCGCCGCTTGCGGGTGATGGTGACGTAGGGCTCCTCCTCCCTCCCTGACCAGCAGTACACCAGCAGGGCCTCCACACACCTGTGGGGACACAGGAGCTGTCACCCCGCCGGCCATCCTGCTGTCCCCCACTGCCAGCACCTCCAGCCCCACCCTGCTGCTGCTGGCCAGACCCCACTCCTGCTGAGTGCAGCCCAACCGTTTGGGAAGGTGTCCAGCAGTGCTGTGGGCAGTCCCTGACCGGTCACACCAGGACCATGGAGGTGTCTGGTGGCTGCTCCTCTGCTCCAGCATTCTGGGTGAACCATGTGAAGCAGGGGAGCAACAACTGCTCCAGCTGCTGGAGGAAGTGCAGTATCCAGGGTACAATGCTGTGACTCTGCTGGGAGCTACAGCTACAGGAAGGTATTAATGACCCTTGGGTGATCACCCTTGGCAAAAACACCTTCCTCTAAGCAGAGGCAAAAGAAACTCTGAAATATCAGTTGAACATCAGAGTTTTCTTTGATGTCTCATCTTGAGCAGAAGAAGGCTTCCACACTTCCTCCCTGGTGGGGGCAGCAGGAAGGAGAGCGCAGGGTGAAGCCATGTGTGGCATGGGCAGATAAGGCAGCGCTTCCGCAGCCCCTTCTCTGTGAGCTGAGCAGGGCTGGGGCTTTCTGCCCTGCCTGCAAGGCCAGGGGGACCCCCAGCCCCTCCACACAGCCGTGGGGTGGGTGTGCGTGGCCACAGGGGCTCAGCTTGGCTCCTGCCTGGGGACCAGCTGGCTCTGGGACCAACAGGACAACTTTGTTTGTGCGCGCTTATCAGGACGGCACAAATTGCCGTGGATCAAACCCAAAAGGAGTGAGGGTTTAGGATAAATTCTCTTGACAGATCAAGCCAGCACTCAGGGCTCATTGCAAACTCTACCAGGAAAAGAGTTTCATCCCAAAGGCCCAGCTTGCAGGGTAGTCCCAGCTGGCTCCCAGTGCCCTGCCAGACCTTCTCAGCAGGCTGGGCTCCATCTCCAGCCCGAGCAGCCGGCTGAAGCAGCCCCGGCTGGCAGCACCATGCCCACCTCAGACAGCCCCAGGTGGTGTGGGGAGAGTCACGACACTCCTGTGGGCCAGCACGGGCTGGTAGCACCGAGCCCAGGTGGCTCTGAAGACAAGGCACGGTGACAGGGACACATTGGTGCACGGCTTGTTTCCGGTGACAGAGGAAGTGCAGAGCAGGCCCCACAGCGTTTTTGGGGCCCCGTGGGTACAGTGAGCCCCAAAGCACGGCTGCTGGCCTGCCCTTGGGAAGGAGCCCCATGGAGATGGTGGCCTTGCCATGCTGCCCACAGTGTGTTCTCACCGGGTGATGACAGCCCGGGAAGCACCGCAGCATTCCCAAGGAATGAGGGATCAGCTTGTGCAACATCCATCCACCCCTCACTGGCCTCTTCCCAGCACAGCCCAGTGGCCCCACAGTTCCCATGCCAGCCCCACTCCCACACCTAGCTCTTCTCTCTGTCCCATAACCCCCACTGAGTCCCACTCCTGGCCCTATGCAGGACACCCCAAGAACCCCACTATGTGCCCGAGAGCATTGTCCAAATGTTTGTTGAACTCAGACAGGTGCTGTGACCACATCCCTGGGGAGCCTGTTCCACAGCTCCACCACCCTCTCTCTGCCTGTAAAACCTCTCCTGGTATCTGCTCTAGACCTCCCTGCCTCGGCTCCCTACCGCGTTAGTGTTCACCCACCGGGATTCCCGTCTGTGCTCCCAGCACAGGGGCGGTGATGGCAAAGAGGCTGAGCGAGTGAAGCGCCGGCTGTCCCCGCTCCCCGGGCAGAGCTGTCCCAGCAGCCGGGATGCCGCGGGCTGGC